AAAAAAAAAAAAAAAAAAAGAACCGCGATTGGCGGCGGCAGTTCAGCGGCAGGTCCTTCGCTCCTAGAGGGAGTGAAGGACCTGCCGCCCCCGAATTGCCGCAGGTGCCGCCCCACTCCCTTGGCCGCCCCAAGCACCTGCTTGTTAAGCTGGTGCCTGGAGCCGGCCCTGCTCAAAATCTTTCACATGGATCTAATTTAGTTCTCTCCTGAAGACATCTGAGTTCTTTTTCTGCAAGACATGCAACCCCCTTTCCATCGCCTTCTTCTTTCTTTTTTGTTGTGAAAGAACTCAGCTAAAAAAGTCAGTTTTGCATTTTGGTCTGAAAGCAACATGATCTAGTCATGCTTACCTCCACCAAAAGAAGTGTCCATAGTCTTGGGCAGCTTCAGAGAAAGCTCTGTCCTTTCCCATCTTTCCATATGAACCCCGAAGGTTGACAGTTTCAGAGATCCTGTAGAATGTGGCTGTCAAGAGAGACTATGGTCTCAGAGAGATGCAGACTCTTAGGTACCTTGGGCCAACACCATGGAGAGCCTCATAGAGAACAAATGAGATCTTGAATATGGCCTATACATGGTTAACATAGAGGGTGGATATATTCTTGGTAACTGGTACTGCTGAAGAGTTTGGATGCTGCAGACTGCACCACGGTTGACTTGCTCACTCCCAAGTATAGTGAGAGGCAATAATGCAGCCTAGAGGTCATGAAGGCATGGATCACTGTAGCCAAGTCATCCTTCAGCAAAGCAGGGTAAAGCTTTCTAGCCAGTCACAGATGGAAGAAGTCATTTTTAGAAGCTTTACGACATGGAATGAGGTTCTTAGTGTGACGTTGTGCAGTCTATATGTTTTTTATAAAAACATAATAATAAGTGAATATAATGTAACTGGAATATGCTTCATGCAAAAGGTCTCTTGTAAGGTATCATTACAAAGCTTATAATCTACTGAGTGTGATCATCCTATTTGTATAAATGTACCACTCTTGTACCTAAAACTAGAAATATGAAATATAACTCTGAGGGCCTATTGTAATCATGTGAAGTGTGGGCCATTAATAGTGGTTTGGAATCTTGATGACTCCCATTAACAAGGACCATTGTCTGCAGATGGCTGTGTTTTACCTGTGAGTCTTCCTGTATATGTGTGTGCTGGCAAGTGGGTAATGAAGTCTTGCAGTGACATGTGATCATGTCACCTGACCTGGAATCCATCTTTAACCTGGGTGCTTTTCCAGTGGTGGGGTGTGAAAACCCAGAGGGACAAAGGGTTCCCGCCTATGCAAAAGATATATAAAGGAGTGGAAGAGAACAGAGGGAGAGAGGAGCCATCATGAAGAATCCCCTAGCTATCACCTGAGCTGGAACAAGAGCTGTACCA